AGCCGCGGCCGCGGGGGAGACGCGCCCTTCGCCCCCTGCTTTTCCAGCAACCGAGGGAACAAGGCATGGAGGGGGAATCAAGCTCGGTTAGCCAGTCCGAAGGGCGTCGGGTCACGCTGGGAAACGCGGCGGTGAGGAGAGAAGGTGGGTTCCAACCCAGCACCCCAGGATGGGTGAGTGGGGATGGGACAACTTTCAGAGAACCATCCTCGCTCTTTCAGCTAGGGCTGGAGGAGACTGCTGCCAACCCCACCCACCCCTGGGGACTGGGATGTCCGTGCCACCAGAGTTTGGTTTGGACATGCCACAACACTCCATCATCAGATGTGATGCACAAACAGGACACCAAAGGGTGGAGGAACTGTCCCAAGGGTTTCAGAGCTTTGTTTTAGAGCTGTCCCCCCAGTTTAGAGCTCCTGCGTGGAGGCCCCTCACTGCCAGCCCTTTCCCACCCACTCCCCAGCTATGGCCAGTCTGGTACGCAGAGCCACACTTGCCCCTTTGACACTCGGCCAGGCAAATAATTCGGAGCAGAGCAGCATGCCAGGACAGCAAACTCACTGTGCTCTGAGCAGCACCGGTGCCCTCTTCTCCTGGGTGCATGTTTTATTGGGCGTGAAGGGTCTGGTTTTGCAAGCAGCAGAGCAGAGCGGCATGCAAAGGGCCCTGCAGGTGGGTGTGATGTTTGCTCTCCAGCCTGGTGCAGCTGTGCTGGGATTAGACCGGTTCAGGTGATCTAGGCACAATGCCTATTAAAAATATTTTTGAGTGCTTAAATATTGCACTGCCTTTTGTAGCTTTGCATGCTGGATAGGGACAGAACACGTTTGCAAATAATTCAATGGAAAGATGCCTCTATCAAAACAAAAGAGTCACTGAGGGCAGACACTCAGCTCCTGTCTGGTCAGAAACAGTGGGAAAGGCCTTTAAATAAACACATGGAGCAGAAAACAATTGGAACAATTTGCAGCGATTACCAGAGGTTCCCGGCTGTTCTGTGTCTGTAGCTGGCACAAATCCCGTTTTCACAGCTCTGGTTAGTCTCTCCTGCACACAGGCTGAACAGCAGAGGATGCACTGGGCTGCCCAGAAAGTGTGATGATGTTCCTGCAGAGCGACTGGGCAGCATGATCATGACAAAGCCCATGAAGGGAGAATCCCAAAAGTGTTATCTTGGGAAAAGCCTAGATCTTATCTGGTCCCATAGGTGAGAGCCTGGGAATCTAAATGGCTTCTCGAGCTTCCTTGCCTTGCCTTGACCAGAAGAGTTAGTGAATTTTGCTACATATCCCAAATACAGTGAAGTCAGCTTGTAATTAATTTACCCATGTCTTCCATTTCTGGTTGCTCATGCAGGGTTCTTAATTTAAGATTTTTAAATATATTTCTTTCCCTTGGAGATTTTTTTTCTTTGCCTTTTTTAATCATTCTTATCTCTGAGGACTCTGCAGAACCTCCAGGATCATCCCCAGGGGTCCTGCTTTGCACTCCTGCAGTGTAGCTAAGGGTCTCATTCTCACTCCTCACTGGGTTACAGACATTTGCAGGTCAGTATTACTTTTTCATTCTGCTCTTGCAGTCAGGCTGTTCCCACAGCAAGAGAGGAGAGTAAGTGAGCTGCTCCAAGCCAAACCAGGAAAAGGCTTTCAGCCTTACTCTGTGCTTTATCTGCCTTTTGTCTGCTTTGATTTTTGTGGAGAGATAACAGGATTTCAGCCTCTAGCCAAATGTCTCAAACATGCCACTAATAAAAAGAAAAAATGTATGCCAGTTGAAACTCAGATGTTGGTGTTCATCCAAATCTTCATGCAGAAACACCCACATGCAAGCAGAAATTATTGCTGTTACACATTAAACTAAGTGGTCAGTTCAGTTTCACAGCTCTGTAATCACATCAGGAGGAACTAGATGAGAATTAAATATTCTTTAATGTGCATTTTTGCCCGGACATCATCAGGAACATGAAGTCCCTGGCTTCTCATGGAACTGCGTACCTTTGATTACATGCAGTTTATCTGTGCTGGCATATAACTGGCTGCCTGTAAGAAGCTCATGTCTCAAATGTTGATTACACATCCTGAAAACAAGACCAAGTCCTTGCTGAGTCTTCACATACTTACGCCTACTACAGTTCTTGCTTTTGGGGAATGGTAATTAATTAATATAATAGGTTACCTTGGACACGACAATTAAACTTTCCATCTAAATGCAGGATTTTAAAAGAAAGCCAGTTACCGATGAATACAAAAGTGTTGCTCAGTTTTCAGAAGATGTTATGGTCCCTTATCCAAAAAGACCCTTCCAAAGTTCCTTTTGATTTGGGTATGAAAACATTTAAACACACACAATTACTTATCCTCTATAGTAGAAACATTTTTGCTATCACCAATTGCAAATGTGTATTTAGTGTTTAAGGATGTATGTTACTTTTACGGACAGCATAAAGAGATACTGCAAAGCATAATCTATCCTCTCTTAAAACAGACCACTGAGATAGGTAGGATGAATCACACCCAGAGGTCCCAACCTGCCCTGGATGATTGGTGCAGCATCACCTCCACACTCATCACCCTCCTTTGTCTTTCAGCTCCCGGAGGAGTATCGTTAGTTGTCCCACAACCCAACATCAATGCAACAGTGGCACAAAACATCCTCCTCTCAGTTGAATACTCTTGCAGAGGCATTGCCACCATTGAGTGGAAGCATGTGTCAAGCTGGGGCACCACCAGCATCGTTGAGTGGAAAATTGGGAATTATGTCAACATATCCACAGTCTACAAGGACAGAGTGACTACTTTTGAAAATGGCTCTATACAGCTTCACAACGTGGGCATGCGAGATGCTGGCTACTATTTTGTCACTGTAACAGAGGAGTATGGAAACAACGCCTACGGCACCATCATAGTCAATGTTTACGGTACAAACTACATGGGACTTCTTGGCTTTACCCTGTGTTTAAATACCAATCTGTTTGTAATCAATTTTATAATATTTTTTTTTCCATTCTCCCTACAGAAATTATCTATGAAGATTTACATTTTGTAGCAGTTCTCTTTGCCTTTCTCGCTGCAGTATCTGCCATTCTGATCTGCTTCATGTGGCTGTGTAATAAATCTCTGCATCTGTTTCAGAAGAAGACACACAAGCTCACAGGTATCTCTCTAAGAATGCAGTCAAGGTATACGGGTTTCAAGTCTGAAGTTTGAGCCTAAAATTTGTGCCATAAGGGTGCTAAACAGGGACACTGAGAAACAAGACTGAAGGGCTCAAAATCAGTTATCCTGTTCTAACTCTTTACTAGCTGAGGCAACTGAATAACAGGTGTTTAGTTGCAGAACAAGCCACAGGACATCTACCTCATACATTTCACATCAGAAATAATAAAACACTTACCAACACTGCTGATTGCGAAACCTGGGGAGAAAAGGCAAGAGCTGCAATAACCCCCCTATCAGAGGGCAGGAGACAAAGTCAAGAGCATCAGCAATTCTTTCAGAGTTCACACCAGAAGAGTATGTCCTAGGGGAAAATAATCAAACAGCCCTTGGGAGTGGCCCTCACCTCAGTTCATGAAGGACTGCACCTCTCCCACTCCTCTCAACGCCCCCCTTCATCTGTCCTCACCTTTGATCCTGTTGCAGACTGCAACAAACACTGACTAATATCAAAACCAGACTCCTGACACACACCGAATACAACAGTCATGAAAAGCAGGTCAAGGGAACATGAGGGCTGCACTGAAGGGAACATTCACATATTAGAGAAGAAATTTCCAAGCCACCGCCAGGGATATTTGGCCCAGGCAGCAAGACAAGGTGCCACTCTATGGACCTGGGATCAAGCTCTTTAGGTGCATCCTTGGAATGGGAGGTTTCTTTTACAACTTCAAAACATTCCAGATGTTTACCTCCATACTTTGTAAGTGCAGATCCACTAGTGGTTTCTTGCCCTGTAGGTAATAGGTCTGTATTTCTTCTCTAATGAGTGCTGCTTAAGCTTTTACATTACAACAAGCAGCATAGCTATCAGGATTTTACTAGACCAACAGATACTCGAGCATCCTAAGCCTCATGGCCCAGACTTTGTGTCAACTCTGCAAAACCTGATAAAAGAAGAAATTAATTTGGCTTGAGCTGCCTATTCCCTTCTGTCACTCACATACAGCTCTTAAGGGCTGCTACTGTTTTCATGGTACACACTCCATTCACAAGGTTCTGTAGCTACTGAAAATTTTCCTATCATGCCAGAAAATATAGGGTTTTGTTGGGATAAAGCCTCTTCCTCCAGTTAAAGCTAATCTTTCTACAGAGCTGAATTGAATACAGTTATTCGGCAGAGTTCAGGAAAACCATAGTTCCAGAAACTTGTGTCATCTCCCAGAACATGGTCCAAAGCAAGGACCTAACTTCTGCCCCAATTCCACCTCAGAAGAGCCCTCCTTTCAGAAGTTATGAAGAGAGGTATAAGGATGGGCCCTGTGGACTTAGGTTTTCATAGTGCCTTTAGCCTTGTACTGGAAGAAACTGGTGTCACCTTAAAGATTGTGAGGGCCTCTTAATGCATTTAAATATTTTGAAAAGATGTATTTAAAACCTAACTGTAGATGAGTAGGCTTGAGCTAATATTAAAAATTTCAAAATATCTCAGCTATTAGCACAACACATATAATTTTGGAACACTGGCCTTCCAATCCATTTGCCAATCAATAACAATATGCTTTTATTTACAGCAAGTACAACGGAAGAGATTGAATTGGAAACCATTGAGTGTTAGCCAAGGACTGTATCATAGCAAAAATAACGATTCTACCTCAGGAGAAAATACTGACCAAGAAAGCAAGAACAAACCTAGAAGGTAAAATGTTTGTGACTACTGCAGAAACATCCTGACTTGCAATTAAATCAGCAGTGTCTGATGGAGCTGTTTTGACCTGTTAAGTTTTCGGTTCTGCTAGTCAAGGTCACATTAAAAAAGAGAATGCTTTCATGCTAAGCATGAACACGTTTTTGTGGCTAACTAATAAAATCTACAGCCTCTACCACTCTTAAAAACAACCAGCCAACCAAGCAACCAAGCCTCTAAGACCAACCCATAAAGGAAATTATCATGGTCTTGAAGGACACCTGTATTTTGGATACAGCAAGTCTCCTATTAAGACAGAGTGGTCATTAGCATTCTTCAACATAATAAATTTAATATTTAATTACAGTATTACTTTAAAAATTAATTGCAAGCATTGAATCCTGTTTATTGCAGCTATGCTGCTACTTTCAGGTGTAAGGAACTTCCTGAAGCTCTGAAGACAGACTGTAACTTTTCATAAGACAAAACTGACTTGGAAAGAATGCCGAGCTGGTCAAAGTTCTCCCGCTTATGTTTGCAATTGTTTACACTGCCCCGGAATGGATATTAACACACATTTTATGACATTACTAGAGCAGGTGGTTATACAAGGAAGCCTGTGCAGGCACTAAAGAGGACGCTGTCTACAAAGATATGAGGGGTCACAAAATACTGATGCACCGCACCAGTGAGGTGGCAAAGTACTAAACAGTTTTGTTGTGAAAGGTGTCCAGTCCTTTGCAAACTTAGCCCAGCGACAAACAGTCTGAGAAGAAAAGTTAGAACAGCATTACTTTGAAATTTAGTATTTACAAATACAGTTCTGAAATTGCTCTTGTTGAGAAGCCACCTTTGCTTTCCCTATGTTCAAAGAAAACATGAAGTGATCCAACTAATGCTTTCTTGAATGTGCATATTGCACTTAATGCAATCCTCCACCTGCAGATCTGTTGCAGGTGGCATAACATTTGCGTTTGTCAGTGAGAAAGCAGTAAACCGACCAAGCTTCAAGTTATTTTGTTTTGCTTTCGTAATGAGAATTTTGCAGTGTGAAATAAACTTTGAAAATGTAAGAGACTATGGACTAGTCTGTGCCTGTAGATTGCCACGCGGCTGTTTGAGTCAAACTGTTCCTACAACCTCTCTCACTCTTTGTCTCACTTGTTTGCAAAAACCTTTCACAGGACAGACTGACAGAGCTTCCCCTCTGGTCAGGGACTAGGATGACCAGGTGCAGAGGTACTATGGGTTCCATTTGGAAAAACGCTCAGAGAATTTCTCACCAAGTGAAAAACGATGCAGGTAGGTGTCAAACACGCTTTTTTCCAAAGCACCCTGTACACAATACCTTTAAGTCATCCCCAGATTGAACTGGACATTTGTAGTACAAGGGCATCTCTCCCACTCATAAATTCAGGTACTAGATTCAGCTGTTTGTTCTTTCCTGCATTTAGGAGAACAGGTCAAAAAAGGGAAGAAATTAAATTTTAAAGATCTCAGATACAGCACAGATGACTGACAGTTTGTTCTAATTTTCTGTTTTAAACGTGTATTACCAATCTAAAGTATCTTTGAGTGCACTAAGCTTTGACAACAGAGAAACTCTTAAGTGCATCTGTTTCAATCACCAAGCTTGAAGTACTTGGTGAAGTATACTTATAGCATATGGAAAACATTATTGGGTTTTTTTCTGTTTATCTATTCCATATTTTTTTATTCCCTAAATCTTAGAATTTGAATGTGAAGTTATTAGGCTGAACTGAATATGAAGTAGGTGCTCTGCCAGACTTATTTAGAAAGTACAAAAAGTGCAGCGTGCACTTAACACCATTATTATCTGCTAACATTGCCCTGAACACTCCAATTGCCAAAGGAAGTCAGGAAACACATCCAGACATGAATGACCGTCATTCAAGTGCATTGCTGTGATTGTAGGCACACTTGTAAACTACAATATTTGAAAGCTAGGATGAAAGTAGGAAACGACCACTTAAAATTCTTCAGTTTAAGATGTACTACAACAGCAGTAACAAGTTTCCACCTGGCACAGTTGTTCTACCTCTCTTAGCTTGGCCAAAGTCACTGCAACTTCAGGCACCTATTCTTGGCTGTTGACCGTGGTGCTAACCTCGCTTTTAGGCAGTAATATCCCAGATGAACAACAGGGACTCAACATTCACTGATGACATCCAGTACAGTTAGCCTATGTACAGCTTTCCTTATAGACAATTCCTCACTCACAAATTTTACCCAGAATTTAACATGCTTACCGTACACATGTAGGGTCTTTTATAAAATATTAACATTATTCTGAAAATTATGTTTGTCAATATGCATTATTAATGCCAGTATTATTTTATGTACAGGAGGTGAGACTAAGCTGTCTGTACCAGTTTCTTGCTACTCTGGAGCATCTAAGGCCTCATGGCAAGTTGTTACAGTGGAAGTTCAGAAACTAATAGCTATTGTTACTCCTCTTGTAAACTCCCTGCAGAACACCAGCGAATTTAACATTTAGAGCATTCTAGATGATCAAACGGGTTAAGGCATTTTACTTTTAAACTAATTAAAGAGATGTTCAAGTTCACAAGATTGCTTTGGCAATCAGTAGTAAAGGTCCTAATCATTCTCTGTCTTCATCTCATATTCAAAGATGCATTACCAATTTTCAAGACTGTCCCTCTGTTAGAGGCCTAATCAGTCTGTTTTCCATTAAAATTAGGAATCTCTATATATTCAACACTAAAGTACAGATGCTCCAGGTCTCTAAGAATTCTTTTGTTGTTGTTGTTGTTGTTATTATTCTTATTTTTTCAGCTAGACATGGAAGTCTTGACAAATGTTTTCACTGCTAACATGCGGTGCTTGCACTTCCACAACACATTAGATGTCCTCTTGCATCCGTTATTTCTTTTCAGGAGACAAGTCCTGCAACCATGAGATTCTAATAGCTCCGTAGTGATCTGATTACATGGTAATGAAGAACTTACCTAATGAAAGGCTGTCACTACATGCAGACCTGTCAATTTAGGTTAACAACAGTGAAGTGTAAAGACATGTTCAAGTTTCATAGACTCATCTTCTAATTATTAGCAAGGAAAGATCTGTTGTGTTGGCAGGAGTCAAAACAGCCTCATACAGTTGGATGCATCAGGCTGTTGGCTGAACTGTTCACCAAGAAACAAAAGTCCTCCCTGCCTGTAGTGGTGCAGTGTCTATTAGCCCAGCAATACAGGACGTGACATGATGGGTGTTAAATAAGATTCACCCATTTTTCAAGAAGATCAGGAGACTATTTTCTACTAGTATTTTTCATTTTCATCAGTTGTCTTGGGCAACTCATCAGAACCTGAAAGGAAAACCATTTCTCTCACACAGATTAGTTACACAGAAGCCAGTACATCCAGGAACTGAAACAAGATGCTCCATGCTGGCAAACATCAAGAGAACTACAAGAGCTGCTTTGGATACACACTGAGCAGCAGCTTGCCACAAGCAGTTGCTTAATATGTATTTCCCAAAACTATTCTTTATTACTTGAGAGTACAACAAAATAATAACTGTCATCATAGAAGTATGATGTTCAATTCAAACATGTTTATGTGCAAGAAATTCTCATATATATGTACATATATACACACACCTCATAACACAACATGGAAATGAAACTGAACCAGTTCATACAGACAGGTTTCAAAAAGACCTTTAGCAATTAAGTACCAAACAAAATAAAAGCTTTGTTAACACCTTACTAGAAGCTTCAAGGCTACAACTACCAAACCAAAACCATCAAAACCATGACTTTTTTTATTTTGAAAGAACTCAAAAGAGCCGATATTCAGGAGGATATTATTGTTTCCCTGGACAATAATCATTGAGAGTGCAGGATAAAAACCCAGCAGCACGTGTGGAGATCCAAGGTTTACTGCATGAGAGTTACCACCTTCTATCCAGACATTAATTTACACAAATCACTCACAAACTCAAATTATCAGAATTTTGCAAGCAGAGTAAGACCTTTCCTCTATATTCTTGCAAAAAAGAGAGACAGAAAACACAAGCTGTGACTTTGTAACACTCTCAACTTAAACAAACTGCCAAGTAAATATATTTCTCAAAAATAAATGGGTCACCCAGAATCCCCATCAATGTACAAACAATCCAACTCAAGAATGCCACACAGTGAAGACGTTACCTTGATCTTAAGTATTGTTTAGCTTCAATTCTTGACACAGAAGCTCTGCTTCTACTGTTGTCCCACTTCTCATCAAACAAGGCCATTAGCATCCACAGGGATAGCCAGATTCTGTGGTATAAACCACTAAAAGGCCCACTGAGAGCCCAATTCAGTTCTAATATTTTTAATCTTTCAAAAATACTTGCAAAGATCTACTGAAAAAAATAAGGGCATGAGAGGAAAGGGAATGATTCCAAGCAGACACCTTTCATGTAGTAAAAGGAACACTGAATTTAATTTTATAAACAAAAAATACGTTACTCAGATTTGTTACTCTGGACAGAGCAATCAGCAAAGATACAGCTGAGCGGAACTTTTTCAAAAAATTATATGTATTTTATATGCCATTGAAAAAAGTTTTATTACAAACTCCACAATGGACATATCTGTACAGGAAATAAATTTGGTTTTGCTTTCTTGTATTGGCCCATAGCTTCCATTTCCCTTTGCTGCAGGGGCAGTGATTGTTGCACGGAGACTATTCAAAGCCCCCACAGAGAGGCCGAGGCATCATTAGCAGGGAGTTAGGGCAGCCATGAGCAGTTCCATTTTATACACAAAGTTACGCCCTTCCATTTTATTCCACTGAACTTCCTTGAATGGCCCTCGGAGATGATTCCACTTGCTGTCTTGCAGTACGTCGCCTTTTGGGAGATCCTTGCACTGACTCCGTGGGAACTGAACCATAACTTTGCTGCCACTTTCCGGACCGTTACGTACTGCAATGAACAGAGATTTTAATGAGCATTTTTACACTGTACGAATTCTTCCTATTAAATATTCTTTCTTGTGTATACTATACATTACTCCTACTCAATTCCAAGCATGCTGAAAGCAAACAAGGAAAATTCTTTTTTTTTTTTTTTAAAAGCTTTTTCTTTTAATTTTCTCTCTCTCATCTCCCAGTTCTCTACGATTTTGTTGCTTTAGCACTAACTGTTTAACTGGATCTAATTCTGGTTAGATTAAACCAGAGATACATTTGATAAAACCCCCACACATACACCTTATAACCACATTTCTTTTTCCCTAATGATACCAGGAAGGGCAAAGGTTATTATGCTCATTCTTTCCTTGCATGTATTCCAACTATTCTTTGAAAAATGTGAGCAAAAATGTATTGTTTCTAGTGCATTTATCTCAAATGGACAGGGACAAAGTCACTAGCATAGTTGTTGTTTTTAATCTCAAAATTCTGCAAGACTGGTGGAGGGGTGGTGGTGTTTTGTTGGTTGGATGCGTTTCTGTGTTTTGACACTGGGTAGTGGTGTGTGTTGGCTTTTTAAATAGCAGTTAGGGAGGCAACACTCAGCTTTCCCCTCATTTACCAAGCCAGCCTTCTACAGATGAGTGTAAGGCTGATTGAACATAATTTCTCCTTCATAAATTGATGCCAATTACTCTCAGTCACCACCTTCTATGGAATATGTTTGGAAACTTCTGGGACCAGTTTTTCCCCCCTTATCTTCCCAGTAATGCAATGAAACTGATCAGACTGTAGTTCCCCCACATTCTCCTTCTTGAGTATAGGATGTGACATCTACCTTCTTCCAGTCCTCAGGAATCCTTCCTGATCACCACGGCCTTTTCAAGATGATCAGGAGTGGCCTTACAAATGACATCAATCAGCTCCCTCAGCACTCATGGATATATCCCACCTGGTCCCGTGAACTTGTCAATGTCTAAGTTTGTTCAAAGGTTCTCTCTCTAGCTTGCTCCTCTGCTACTGAGGCTGTCTTTGCTCCAAAATTTCCCATGGGTCTCATAGACCCATTCCTAAAGGCCAGTCTTAAGACCAAAGTAAAGAAGGTACTGAGTACCTTGGCCTTCTTCATGTCCTGTGCCACCAGGTCCTCTGCCCATTTGAAAGGAGTCCCACATTTTCCCTAATCTTCCCTTTGCTGCTGTCGTACCTGCTCAAACTCTTCTTGTTGCCCTGTACACCCCTCAGGACCTTAGCTTTCCTATCCTTGTCAATGCATGCTTGGACAGCCTCTCTCTCTCTCTCTCTCCCAGGTCAGGCTTATAATCTCTTGCAGCTTCTTTTCTATTATCATAAGTTCAGTCATGAGTTCCCTGTTCATACACACAGATTTTCTGTCACCTTTGCAGAACTGCCAGAACATAGGTATGACCATTCTTGAGCTTGAAAGCAGTCATCCTTGAAAAAAATAAACAACCAGCTCTCTTGAACTCCTCTTCTTTCCATCCCACAGGATCATATCCTGTAAGATTCTTTCACAAAGATCCCTGAAGAGACCAAACTCTCTTCTCCTTAAGTCCAGAGTTGTGATCCTGTTGTTTACCTTTTCCCCTTCCTTCAGGGTCATGATGATTTCTGTAATCTCCTGTTTTTATGCTAACTGTCAGAAATATTTTCAAACTTGTGTAAATTAAATCAAGTTTATATTAAGTGGATTCCTGAGGAAAGTATTGATTCTATGCAGATGTCAATTCCATACACAAAAGAAATAGTCTGTACACTTGTATAGAATAGTATCAATTTATAGCAAAATGCTCCACAAAAAAATCTCAGAAAGAGACTTGTAAAGCCTGTAGATCTCACTTAAGAATTCTATGACTTGGCATGCGTTTGCAATAGAAATACTACCTGAAATGGCATAGTCTCCATTTGGTGATGCTACAGTTATTGCTGATGCATTGCCAATACTCTCCACTGGCCCCAGACCAACATGATTACTGAAACTCAGCACGTGCCATCCCATAACTTTTGCAAGCTGCTGAACTGCATGGACTTGGTGCTGTGACATCTGAAAGATAACAAGAGGTTTGCCTTCTGTTCAGTATTTGCACACCACAGGAAGAATTGCTTACTGGGTTTACCAAGCCTTTTTTCTTCTATACAATAGTTATTTATAAAAGTGACTTTGTATTTTAAGTTCTCTACTTTAAAAGGAACTTTTTTATTTTTTACATGTATGCTGGTAGAGCTTTGTGTTATTTGAATTTAGACTACTTCCCCTGCAGATAGAGGAGACCACTGTATTTTTCAATTAGATGAATTTTTCATAGGTATATGGATTTATGCAATTTATTTAAATATTGCTTTCAATTTAGAAATACCTGTATTTAGGTTTCAAAAACTAATTCAAGGGATTCAAACGGGATTTTTAAACAATTCTGTCTGTGAATAAAAACAAGACTTCTGCTGTAAAATATATAAAAATCTTAAAAGTATCAGAAGAAACAATTCAGAAAAAAAAAGCTGAGGTTCTCGTATCCATGATTATCTCCATTAATGCTCAAGTGTAAGCACTGAGCTTTAACAGCTTAGGAGTTTAAATGCTACTGTTTTTCTGTATTATGACTTAACACTTGTAACAAGGAACTATCTAGCACTGTTCAGCAGTTCTCTGTGAACAAGTCTGACAACACTTGACCAAAAAGACATGCCCTCAGCAGAATCTGTTTCAACCTGTTTTCTGTGTCGTGGAGTTTTATATAACTGCAACAGGCCAACCACTATTATTAAAGACCTGTATTTTGACTATTTATAATGCATAGTAGGGAGATTGTTGCTTCTGAATAAAACCAGCAGCTTGTTCTAAGCAATTAAGTAAATACAGTTCATTCAAATATCAGCTGATTTAGTAATGACTGATGCAAAGTGAGCACTAACAGACAATGTTGAAATGACAGTAATTGTGGGCTCATTAAGAACTTGGTTACAGTAAGTTTCACATATAGGATACCTTACTGTTTGTTATGAGTCTCACTGACTTGCTTCTACCATAATGAGCAGCATAAAGAAATGTATTTTAAATGGGAGGGAAAAATCATTATTACTACTGACCTTAGTAAAAACTGGCATTACATTTTAGTAGCAGTTGCTGAAGTCACTATACAAACATAGTGAAAATTCAGTAATCCACCTTCCCATTTTCACTACCTTTATTTGAAGTTTTTAAATATTTTCTATACAGATAAAGGTGAGATTCTTCTGTTTTTCAAACAGTACAAGAAAGGGAAGAATAATGTGTATGAGTCTACCTGAGATAAAAGGAAATCCTGCAGTTCTTGCTCTTGATGGGACAATGTAATAACTCTTCCGTCTCTATGCACAACTCTGATTTGTTCAACTCCAATGTTCAGCTGTAGCTGAATGGATCTTTGAAGATAAGAGGCATATTTATTCAAAATGCACTACAACACTAAAGGAAACAGGAAACTAAGAACACAGAATCCCCCCAGTCATTGACAAGAACTCTTAAGATGGATGGTGCAAAGCCTACGGAATGTGACAGCAACTCCAACCATTTCAGTTTCATCACTCACCACAACAGCTCCCTCTATACTGCAGGGGACATACTCTGTGGCGTGTTCCCAGACCTGTCCCACTGCTTGTTCAGGTCAAGGAAGCCTCATAGTTCCCTGCCTGCCACTGTTGCCGAAGTTTCCTTCCAGAGGTGCAGGGAAAATGGTGTGTTCCATACTACAGCCAAGACTTGGGCAGCATATGCATTCTGGAACCAAGACTGGCAATTGCACCAGTGACAGCAGTTTCCCCCACACTGTGCACACAGAACACTGCTCCAAATCTAAAAAACCACTGTCAGTGCATTAGTTAATTTACTGCTGGTCAGCATCCAGACATTTGTTTCTGGAATACGACATTACTTATTTTGATACCAATGTGCATAACTAATTGCATGAATTACATGAATTCCACATTTCAGTACCTATACAACCAAGCTAGGACTGAGGACTGATTAGCTTTCCATAAGGAGCCTGGAAGTTTAGAATCCAGCATATCAAATGATAGTTTGTATTCAGTCATCTCTACCAAAAGTAAATCCCCCCCCTTAAATGGCCACTCTCATTTCTATTTTCTTCTTTGAAAGGAAACTGTGCTAATTAAAGATGTAATACATTTCTTCATTAAAGTGCAAAGTGGGTGAAGAGTTTTCTTAGGGTGGCTGCTCACCCCACAACTCAGACAAACAGACACACACAAATAATGGACTCCTACTTGTCTGTCTGAGAAGAATCTAAACCTTTAAAGCACAACTTGGATACACATTCTCTGCTGCATGCTTCTACCAGTAAAAAGAGACATGCATTCTCATACTTACTTGCAGATCTGCTCATATCCTTGAGAAGTTATTAGAACTTTAACACTGGATTCATAAACATCATTTATATTGGACCAGTGAGCCTGAATCTGAGGATCCTCAATACGACTCGCCAGACTGTCAATGGTTCGAGCAGTTCTAGAAGATAAAGCCACATCCCACACACAGTGATCTAGACAGTTTGTGCTGTTCTCTTGTTTAAAGGAACTAGGCAGGTTATTCCATTTAAGGGAACCATGTGGATCAAAGCTCTATTTCAGCACCATTCTGGTGCTAATGAAGGCCACTTGTTTATTATGTACATCTCTCAAGCATTCAGCAGCCATATTAAAGCGGTATTACTCAGTATCAACTATTGCATTGCAAAGAATATGGAAAAAGATATTTTATGCAGTTTAAGATAAGTAGGGACAATTATCAGCAGCGTACGTCCTAACTGTCACAGCAATCTCAAAAAAATCTGACTTTTTTTTTTACTAGCTGAGTGTTGTTTGCTCGTATTTTATCGTATATTATTGTTTCTTAGTACTTGCAAATAAAGACTATTTTAACTGTGAAGGAAACAGAGCCTAATTTTAAGAACACTTAAAAAAGATCAATTGCATTCTACTTAATGGTACGTTTTATTGTAACTTTAAACAAGAAGAGCATGTGACCTACCTGCGTCTCAGAAAGATATGTTTTGCCTGTTTTATTATCTTTTCCAGAAGTCCTTCATTCGACTGTAGACAACTGATATCATTTTTATCAAAAGCCTGGGGTCCTGCAAGTCTCATTCTCTTATGGCCAAAAGGTGCACTAGCTGGATGTGGCATTACTGTCGAGCTCAGGGTTTGCTTGTGACACTGAAACAAACAACAGATGTTACAAAATGAAGTGACCAAATAACGTATCTGCAAGAAATACTACATATACAATATGCTGCTTCACATCAGGTTTTTTAAGTTTATATACTTTCAACAGTGTAACATTTTAACTTTAGAAACCTGACAGCATTTTAAAGCCAACTTTATGTGTGTCTTTCAAAACTTATGGAAAGTGATTTTTTTTTTCTTTTTGAAAAGTGCTAGCTAACCAAAATTTGGAACCATGCCTTTAATACATCTCTGGAGACAGAAAGAATGGTCAAGTAAAAACAAAGAAAGCATTGTAGAGGAAAAAAACCTGAGGTACAAAAAGTTTTAGCAACCTGTCCAAAGTAAAGAAAGGAAATTCACAGCAGAGCTGGGCACTGAGCCAAAGCTCCATGAAACCTAAATCAGCATTTAAAACACTGGACTATTCCACATGGCTGCATGACTTGCAGAGCCATGCTCTAAGAGATGAACACTCACTGGAATATGGTTTCAACTCTGCTCAGACATGCAAAATTGCGCTCCTTTCCTGAAGAGACGCAACCTCAACCTTCTACCCTAGGTCATTCTGCTAGATTATACAAGAATATTAAACACTGAAGCAGAGAAGTGGATCTTAAAAGAAGCAAAGCTATTACAATAATTGATTGTTCTTCCTTCATGGGGATACAGTCTGACTAGATGCTCCCTTGCAGTGCTTGCCAAGCATTAATCAGACACAATGCAAAAAGGGAGACTGATGAGCTCTAGTGGAAAAGCTTTGCATGACTATTCTGAAGTGAGCAGCCAGGCCTGAGGTTAAGTAAAGAACTAGCATTCCATGAAAGCATGAAGTGGAACTACTGAACCACCCACACCCATTGAAACCGAGTGTGGGTGTCACAAAAGGTTGCCTTACACAAATAGATGGAAGAGACTGGCCTCTAGCGGCACTCGGCTGTTACATCAGTGCCGCACACCAGGCAAAAGACTGAACAAATGCCCAAAAACTGTTCAGTGTTTGACCATAAATGCATTTATTACCTCTCTGATAAGTTGATGCAAATTATGTTCCAGAACATAGAGATGATCCTCTGGATTCTGTTTCTCAGAAGCAGCCTTTTGTGACTTTTTGTCATTGGAAGAGTGGCAGAGAGAGATAGACAACTGCAAACCTGTACAAAACGGATGGGAAGAAAAAACCAAAAGAGAGCACTGACAATTGTCAAGGTTGCTACTGAGAACTACTTTTCTTCATGCTTTATAGGAGTAGTTTAACAACGAGAATTCACCGTATCAGAGAAAAATCAAAGAATGATGGTGGAGAGCACAGCACCAAAGGCAAGTAAGACTTGCTACTCACTGAAGTGTTGACAGGCCAGCTATGAACTCACTAGCTGCATTTCTCACCAATTTCTATGACTCAATCCCACACAAAAAGAAAAGTCCTCAGGACCCCATTCCTTCCCCAAAGAAGGAATCATGCACATTTTAAGCAATCCAGAAATATATTCTTCACATGATACAATCAGTTGTGTACCCCCTGTAAGAACAGAGGATTCAGCAGCTGACTCAGAGCCACCCTCATGCTGTTTAATTATCCTCATTGAAGAGCTTTAGCCTTTGTTCTTCTGAAGACCCATTAACTCAAGCCTTAAATTTCACTTGTGTGCAATCCAGGAGCAATGACCTATGCACAGCTCCAAACTGGCATGTGCACATGGCATTACAGTGGACAGTTCTAAGTGCTGCTGACAAAAAACATAACCACAAAGGAAAACAGAGTAAATTAGAAACTAAAGCACATAAGTTGAATTTTTCTATAATTAGTAAACAAAATTCTAACTCTGTGAAATTCTGTTTTTCAAAACCTCTGAAAACCAAGGAGTCTGTTTTTTAAGAACAGAGCATTAAAAAAGGTCACGTCAATCGGGAATTTCAATTCATGTTTAAGCAAATAATTGCTAAAAAGTCTTGGAAAGTTTCCTACCTGGGAAAGGCTGGGAAATTATCTGATTTTTCACAACAATGTGAGGAATCTGTGATTTAATTTGAACAGCTTCTCGTGACAGCTGGGCAAAAATTTCTTTACACAAAAGAACATTCTGCGCAGTCTCCAACTTTGTCTGCCAGTGTGGAGAACCTGAAAAATACAAATCAACGTTTCCAGAAGAAAAGAGTAAAGAGAAGCCACCTTTCTTTTCAGATACCAGACACTGTGCAGTAGGCTAGGCACAATTGCTAAGATAAAGCAGTCAGTACCTTATAGCCAAACTGAGTATTATCAGAATTTTATCTCAATTAAGCAAGCACTTTAAGGTAACACTAATGCATTTTCATTCAATTTAACATATATGTGAAAGGCCCTTCTGGAACCACGTATTACGCTCCCAGGCCTTTTGTGAACTCTGCTTAGGAACCTCTGCTTCCTAAGTTGCAATTTACTTTCAATGATACTTCCAGCTTTATTAAATTCACTCTATAATGAACTATCAAATAATATTCGGTTCGTGTACGTGCTTTCACAGGATTTATAGGCCCAAAATTCTTGGGAGATTCTGGTGTAAGTACACAAGCTCTATAATGTATCCTGAGTACCATATGAAACACTTCCATAGTACAGCACTCTCTCTATGTTCCGGACAGCATGAGCATCTGTGTCACAGACCACTGTGAAATGAAATCCTGCCAGTTTATTTTTAACCCCAAAGAGTAAAGGATGAATTTTTAATCCCAATAGTTTACAACTTCAAATACCAGCATGTATCAAATGAATCAATCTACTCTCTGCCAGGTGGGCTGTCAGTAATTAACGCACAGATTGCCATCACAGTTTCAGATCCAGATAAAACATATGAGCCATAGACACAAGTAATGCATTTTGGGCAAAGTTAAGAGTGAACAGTCATACAGTTCAGCTGAACTATGGGATGTAACTGGCCGAAACACAATACCTTGGATTGATTTTGGTGATGTGCTCAAAGTTTTAATGACTAACAGAAGGTGCTCCAGAATACTTGAAATACAACTCCCATACTTTTGTTTCAGAACTGAATAAACATCTGAAAAACTGAAGGAGTGTGCTTTGAAAGCATCACGTTTTCAAAGCCCAAGCAGCACCTAAACAGAAAATTTCAGTTTAAATGAGGATATTCTTGTTCACTCTTCTCCTAAGCTATATGCTATGATTTTCAAACAAGCATCATACTCAAACCCAGTTCTTTGAGAACATGCTCACAAAACAACATACCTGGTTTTGATTTTGGCAAGGGTCTTTTAAAGAGATTGACTGTCCCGAGGTCACCAATGTCTGGAGCTTGTTTCTGAATAGAAACCTAGGCAAGAGAGAACATTATTTGGTGTTTGTTCTGTTGCAAGCATACACATACCGAAACAAAACTCATGCTACGTTATTACAGTTTCTCTGACAAACCTTGATATACGCTGATCCCTCTAAATCACTTGGAATTTGAACATCCAAAGGACAGTAATCCTCAGGTATCTTTTTATCCAGGTCAATGTCAGTGTTCTTTATCACCTCAAATGTGCCATGATGAAGAAAAAGAGAGCCTGAGAAAAGAAGGGCAAAGACATACATACTAAACATAAAGCACCTTCTGCAAATAAAAAAAACCTCGTTCCTTTATTTTGGAAGAATATGTATTTCCAAGTCTCCAAACCTCCAGGGGTGCACTTGACTCATATTTCTCAATGACTTCTTAAAAAAACCCAGATAAATTAGAAAGCTAATTTCAGCACATCAGTATCTCAGTCCTCCAGTATGCGACATGTAATGTTTTACAGTAAATTAGCATGGAGTATTTAATAATTACGAGGGAAAACCAACTGTTTCAAAATGGTGTCAATAGATGCAAGCAAAGAGGAAAAATAAAAGAAACATGAACAACCCCAAATTTGTCCTTCCCCTCCTTCAGTGATGACAACAGAAACCCAACACACCCAGTTCTGATGCCTGCTTTGTAGCTATATCTTAAATTCCATGGGATTCTGTATTCACTTTGGCACTCCATCACGGCCTTTAAAACCCTGGTCTCTCTGGTCACCGTCTCTTACTGTCTTATCCATGAAATAAGGCATATTCTCAGTATCATGTCTCTCAAGTGTAGGAATAATAGGTATAATAAATCTATCTTTGATGACAACCTTTAGTCACATGGTTTAGTTTTATTTAGTCTGAATTCTGAGGAGCAGGGAGTTAGACTTGATAATCCCTTCCAACTCGAGATATTCTATGATCTTCACTCAGAAGAAAATGTAACACACTTCTCATCTTTTTTTAAATGCTTTAGAGACCAAATGTAGATAAAAGCCAAAGACTTAACAAGATCTCCCTGTCAACTGATCAACTAGATTGTCAATGCCAAATTGTTTCCGTAAAGAAATCCTTACTAAAATCCTACACAGTGAGCCTTTAAAAGTACTTTCTAGGTTGAGGATGGCAATATATTTTTCCTGATAATCAAACAGAAGCTTTATAATCCTCTCAAAATTATAATAAACTTATATTGAAATAATCTATTATTAGATATTCTATCTGGTTTTTCCAGTTACAAAAAGCAAATTTCATAACATATACATTCTTGTGAAAAAGACCCTACTGTTTACCTGCACTTCTGTAGCTCAGATCACCAAGAATTTTGTCTCCCACTTTTCTCAGCTTCCAGTGTTGTCTCAGTCTCAGCAGTTCAGAGTTGAAGTCTCTTTGTCGCTTGTTTTCCTGGTTTTCTGCAACCGATTTGGATAATCTTTCTGCACCTTTCAATAGGATTTGAGCTGCTCCAGCTAATGACTTCTTTTTTGAAATCAACTGTAGAAACTGAGGATTCTGGTAACAACACCAAAAAAAAAAAAGATACAGAGATACTTGCACCTGAATTCTCAAAAAAATCATTCTTTATTATTATTAATGGAAACTAACTGACAGCAATTGATAAGTTGTTACTGCTGGATATCCACTGATTTGGAATTACTTTCATGTCAGCATTATACAGTCACAGGTAGCATTTTGATTTAGAACTTCAGCAAAGAGGCCTCTGAAATTGGCCTCACCTCCCATTCCCAGCCTTACCCTGACCCACAAAGCACTGTCCTAGAGCAAGGAAAGTTTTACAAAGTCTTGTATACATCACACATGAAAAAAATCCACCAAAATAAAATCTTTAGCATCAAGCTACACGAAGTGCATAACTTAGGTACAACATACCTGCTTTGGGGGAAGGGGATCCTGCACGACTGGATCTAGAGTCATGAACTTTTTATCCTTCACAATGCTAAGAACGTCATACAACACGCACATCTCAGTCAGGGCACTTCTTAAGTTGTTCCTCACTGAATCCCAAGGCCAGAGGGATGGCTGAAACT